TTGTTTGATTTTGGTTTAGACACAATCATGTAATGTTTATTTAGTCAATATATTGAAGTAGCATAAATTGTTTGTTCACCGGGCTCTCTGCATTCCTTTGTGTTGACTGGGATTTGGGAATGTATCCTGCTCAAAATTGTCTTTGTTGTACATGAACCTATTTTGATTAATTGAATACGAATCCCTATTCTGCAGTGTAATGATGTGTAATATGTTTGACTATTCCATTGCATCTGCATGTGCAAGCAAATGACTTAACCTATTTTTTCTTTTTATTTTTTGATTGTGTTTGTTGTTTGATTTTGGTTCAGACACAATCATGTAATGTTTATTTAGTCAATATATTGAATTTTATTTAGTCAATATATTGAAGTAGCATAAATTGTTTGTTCACCGGGCTCTCTGCATTCCTTTGTGTTGACTGGGATTTGGGAATGTATCCTGCTCAAAATTGTCTTTGTTGTACATGAACCTATTATGATTAATTGAATACGAATCCCTATTCTGCAGTGTAATGATGTGTAATATGCTTGACTATTCCATTGCATCTGCATGTGCAAGCAAATGACTTAACCTATTTTTTCTTTTTATTTTTTGATTGTGTTTGTTTTTTGATTTTGGTTCAGACACAATCATGTAATGTTTATTTAGTCAATATATTGAAGTAGCTGTAAAATTTTATTCATATTATTGTTATTTTTCAGCTTTATTACAGGTATGTTTTTTAGTTAAATATAACAGATTCAGAACAAATTTTTTTTAAAAAAAAGAGCTATAACGGCGTTTTAAAAACGTCGCTAAATATTAGATGACGTCATTTTATCATTATTTATCGCATTTAGCGGCGTTTTTAAAATACTAATTTTACGACGTTTTTAAAGCGTCATAAACTTATAGCGACGGCCGCGTCCTCGACGTTTGGTGATAAGCGTCACTAAAGGAATTAGCGGCGTTTTTCATACATAAAACTCATTTTTCCAGCAGTGTTGCTGCTGTCATTGGCAGCTGCTGGTATTGTATGCAACTGCTACAACTGTCTTTGTTTATTAGGATGACTGAATAGGAGTTTGCAAGCCCTCAGTCTTGGGTCTAGTTCTGGATTGCTGCTAGTTTAGCTGCTGCAATTGGATGATCATTGTTCTTTCCATTGTGGAGGACCTGGACAAGCAGTATGCGGATGTCTTGTTGCCATTGAAGGAAAATTTGACACCCAAGAATTTTGGTCTCAAATATGTACAGAAGCTCACAAAACGATCTGTGTGCCCTTATGTGGTCCCAGATGAGGTGAGCTTTACTTGTCAAGTTCTCATTTTTTTCCCTTTTAGTATTGTTATTCTTTTGTGGTTCGGCTGAAATATGGTTTTGCATTTAGCTTGGAATTCTTTTGAATTCCATGAAGAGGATGCTTGACATATTGCGGTCCAAGATAGAACATCAGTTGAATTCATGGGGTTCTTGCATCCCTGATCGGGGAAGCACAACCTCTAGAGAGCGCCTCAGTGAAGTAACTGTGATGCTTAGAACAGAGTTCAGGAATTACCTGCAAGCAGTTGTGGAGAAGCTAGCAGGAAATGTGAGTGTCATTCTCGAAATTAAATGCATAACCTTAAAGCTGTGGTTGGATCATGAATTGGATAGGGATTTGGTAAGGAAATGTGAATGTAATATAAGTTAGATTTTTGCCATTTTCTTTCTCTTTCCAAATCCCTACCTAAATCCATAATCCAAACAGACTAAATCCCTCCTAACTTTGACTTCTCCATTTGTAAGTTATGATAGATTATAGAAGTTATTACCTGGTTTTCTGTCTTTTTTTATTTATTGAAAGAACCACACACCGATATTATTTTCTACGTACAAATCTATTGCCAGATGTAGATATGTATTTCTAAAGAACTTGGCTTGGTGGGGTTTGAATCCCCCTTGTAACTTGGGAAACCAAAGGGTGACCACTTGGGCTTGAGGCCTGTGTTCCCAAAAGTATTTTTGCGGGAAAAAAAATTTAGTTCCCCCCTCTCCCCTCTCATAAAATGCAATGAAGAAATATCAATAGTTCTCGAAACAAAATTTGAGTGAATGATCCTTTAGAAATTGTATAGACATTTCTAGTTTCGTGATCTGATATGGATTTGCAAAACAATAGTCTATAGGATTTTTTTGATATATGTTTTATTGATTGCCTTTTTTGTTGCAGTCAAGGTTACAGAATGCTACAAAACTTCATCATTGTTATCATTTTTTATCTCATCCAAACAAATTGTTTGTGTTAGTTTAATTTTAAAATTTTTAATTTGATCAAATTTTCTAATTTTGTCAATTTTATATGAAATTGATTCAATTTTAAATTGATTGTCTAAATTATTAAAACAATGATAATAAAATAAACATATCACCGTCACTACTAGAAAAATAATTTTTTGCGTCTATTTTTTTGTGACCGATTGTTTGACCGTCGCAAAAAATATTATTTGCAATGTCAATCCAGGGAAGCCACTATTGGGGCTTATATTTTGAAACAAAAACTTGCCAGCCCACCATTGGGACCCAGCCCAATTTATATTTTCCTTTTTTGTTAGACTCTCATTTTCCCCAAATCGCTCGATCATTGATTTATATCTTGCCCTAGACTATCATTTTCCCCAAATCACTTGATCGTGTCTCAGTAACCAGGTTCATTGTTGGTGCTTTGCTTGAGGCTTTATATCTAAAAAAAGATCTAGAAATTGGGTAGTCTGTGTTCTGATCTATTCCCCTTCATAATGTGTATTGATCAGGTGCAAGCTTGGATTTGAGGAACATATATCTCTATGCTAACAAATTGGAACTCAACCGGTACCTTGTACAGTGGTGAACACCAACATTGTAGATTTTGACTTTACTAGCATTCTATTTGGATTGTAATTTTTTCTTAAAAGAACTTTTTCCAAGTTTTTAGTTGTAATAACTTTCACATATGGCTCCAATTTTGAGACTCAAATGGAATGCTTGATTAAATTACAATGTTATACGGTATGAATTCTTGTCATTGCTATTCCTAGAGTGCTTAATGTTACAATTTTATTTATTTATTTTATTATTTTATTTTATTTCTTTTTGCGACGGTAACAAGATGGTCGCCAAAAATCATGTTAGTGTTTTTCTTTGTTTTTTGCGACGGCAAAATAGCGGTCGCTATAAGTAATTTAGGCGGTCGCAAATAATTTGCGACTGTTGCCTTGCCGTCGCAAAAAGTATTTGCTACCCCCATATTTGCGACCCCCATTTGCCGTCGCATGGGCCGTCGCAAAAGGCCTTTTGCGACTGTTTTTTATTATTTGCGACGGTTTATAGCGGTCGCAAAAAGTACTTTTTTTAGTAGTGCGTGTTTTGTGTTGGTGTTATTTTGATTGTCAAAATTTTGTAATGTTACAACTTACAAATCAAAATATCATTACTAAACATTTTAATATCTAATAATTTAAAATTCAAAATTATATTAAGATTTTTATTTGTCATCTAGATTGGTGTTTACTAATAAAATTAATAAATTAAAAACTTGACTAAAGTGATCTGAAATACAAACTTTAGAGATATACAAAATAAAATAATAATTAAATAATTAATAAAAAAATAATTATAAATATGAAAAATATTATTGAATTCAATGAGTAAAATCTAATAATAACTTGAACTCTTCGAGTCCCAATAACCAACACAAAAGTAAAATTTTAAAAGACTAAACTAACACAGAATACTTATCTTAGAGACGATAAGTATATTTTATACTAATTAATTACTACTCAATAATCTTAGATTTTGATAGGCTTATCGGGTCAACGTCACCATTAACTGATCTGGGCCCGGGACTACTCAAGATGGCTTGACAAGCCCGAAGGGTGGAGGGCTATAATGGAGACCTACAGCGAGAAATTGATGGACTTGGCTTGCAAGTTGCTGGAGGTGTTGTCTGAGGCTATGGCCTTGAGAATGAGGCTCTTACAAAAGCCTGTGTTGACATGGAGCTTGTGATTCATAAATTTTAGAAAGATATAACAATAGTGCCTTGGAAGAAAATGGTTAAGCCTCTTGCGTGCTACTCATTTTCCTTAATGTTTGGAGAAATTGGTGATCTAAACATGGTGACTAATAATAGCACTCATTTCAATGTTCAGTTTTTTATGGATCGAGCATTGGTTGGTTCATGTTCCTTGCCCTCGGTAATAACATGCATACATATTAGCCTTTTTTGTGTTCAGGATCATGTTATAGATAGGCCAATCATGTCAACTTTAGTTTTCATGATCAGCAAATTAAGTATGCTACCGTGGTTGAGACACGGTATATTTTAATTGTTCTTTTAATATTTTATTATAGTCATGATGCTTCCATGGATTTGGGTTTGCTCAAATGGTGCATTATTAAATGTGAAATTTGAATGAATATTGTGGCTTATTAGCAAGAAATGAAAGTCTCATTATTGACATGTTTTATTATAGTTCTATTAACTGAGCTAGATGGTGAAGTCTATAAGTGCATTACTCATATTTGGTTTGTTTGATTCATACAATTTTATTTGTTTGTTTATTTTTATTTAATTATTTTTCATTGATATGTTTCTGTCAAATTTGCAACTTTTATATTCATCATTCAATTTTCACGAATGGTGACAAGTCTTCGTGGAAGCTAGATTCTCCCTCAAACATTGATTTCGCTATTTATCCTCTCCTTATTCTTTTCAAATTGTTGAAAACTAAAGCATTTCAGAAGGTACTTTATTTGTCTCTTTGAGCTCCTTTGAAATCCAACATGAGCACTTGAAATTTATGATTATGTTTATTTTCTATAACATTCATAATGCTTGCCGATCAAAAACATTCATATTGCTTCTATCACTGCTTCAATCAAGCTGAATTCATCCCAAAGGAACTTGATTCTCAGAAACGGTCACTAAATCTACAAGTATGTGTTGTTATTTCCTCATCCATTTCTCTTATTATTTATGTCCTCTCCATATCTCAAATCCTGCTGTACTTGTCACAAGAGATTAAAGATTTTAACCACCCTCAGCAGAAATATACAATACCTACATATTACCAATACCAAAACACACACTCAACAGGTTTTGAGGATGGATTGGGGCAATCTCCAAGAGTTAAAAAAGCTGCATATTCTACATTGATTATAGAAGAGAATGTGTTTCACTCAACCAACATTATTTATAGGATATAGTTTCAATAGTTTTTTGCATCACCCATCAATAGGGAATTTCGGGTCCTCAATTCAATATTGCTCATATTAATTTGCATTTTTTTCCTCTAATTAAATTCTTAGATTTGGACCATCTCTTTTTGGTTGCTTGGAATATTAGTTAGGTGATTAGATTTGCTGCAGAACCATGTTCTGCACTTTTTCTTTTTTCTTTTTTTTTTTGGTTGCAACAATGCGAAACTTATTTAGGTTATTATTCATGTGTATAAAACGGATGACTTGCAAATAAGCATGCATTGTGGTTGTAACCAAAAGTTAATGGTGGCAAGGAGAGAATCTGTTGAGTGGATTTTAAGGGTTAGGAGTTAAAATGATGTAACCAAAAGTAAAAGCCAAGGGGATCTAGGAGTTAAAAGGATGTAACCAAAAGTAAAAGCCAAGTGTGGTACAGTTAAGTCTTTATACAACATAAATGGTGATCATGAGGGATGGACCTTAAATTTTAGAACTCTATTTGATTACTTGGTAATTGTGTGTATTCTTATTGATTTTCATAGTTCTTATTGCGGTCTCACAATTCTTTGTTTTATATTTTCTTCATTATTTCATATTATCTTAATTGTTTGGTTTTCAATATTTTTTTCATATTTTATTGTTTGTGGTATTTAGACCCACATCTGAAGGTAGTATCTTAGAAATTAGATGGTATTACTCACTTTTATAGAACTGTAACTTGTGCCAAACCTACCCCCACCACAATATATACAATTGTCTAACATCATTTTTTATAGTTTGTGCTAAATCTTATGATCCTTGATTCAATTTGATTCACAATTCACACAATTAGGATTTTGATTCCTTATAGGATTCTTGAATGGACAACTATGATACAATACAACAAGGACTACTCATGCATTTGTGGAAACAAGAATGGAATGAATGTTATATATGGAAGGGGAGTCATGCGATTCTCTTTTCAAATCAAATTGGTAGTCATGTTATTTCAAACAAACTATCAGTGCTTAATCAAAGTTAAATGTAAGCTTTATCTTTAGTGCATTTTTCTGTCTTAATTTTATTTATTTGTTTGATATGCATATTCAGATTTTACAGCTGACCATGCTAATTGTTCTTTATGGCTATGACATTTATCTAGCTTCTTGGGCTTGACCTACACTAACTAAACTGTGCAACTTGTGTGAAAACATACTTTTGTTTTTACATTGTCAATTGGATGCTTTTTCAATTTTTACATCTTATTTACCTATTCTAGGACAATAATCAAATGCAAATTGTATAATAGCCATATGTACACAATTTCTTTGCTTTTATTTGTTTCTCTTTTGTGAAATACAAAATACTTCAGGGGATGTGGAAGTTCACATAATGAAAGTATTCTATCAGTTCCATATAGCATTCTAGATGACTTTTCTTTCTTGTATTATTTAGTAGGATTCTCTATTTATACATTTATAAAAATAAAAAAATTATATCATTTGTGGGATCCTTTCTGCAATTATCATGAAATAACATTTCAGTTCTATTGTCATTTGTGATGATTCTTTCATCTCTCCTTGTGAAATAACCCTCTCTTTGGGTTTTGATGAATGGGTGTTATTAGATGCTTTCAAAGAAACTTTCTATTTCTTTAATTGTTCTTAAATTTCAATTATTATCTTAAGGGATGAAATCCCCCTAGAACAAATGGATCACTAGGGTGTGGAGAATAGAAGACTTATTTGTGGACAATCATGAACTTATTGAAATGTGTAGCTTACATTGAGAACTTTTTTGCCATCCCCACTCCTACTGCTTTTTCTTGCGATGTTGCTTCTTTGATGTGTCTACAAATTTGATTATTATTGTTGTTGTTTTTTTTTTTTTTGGCTTTTTTTATCTTTATCTGTTATTGTTGTTACAAATAGTGTGTGGAAATAAATGAGCTGCAAAGGAGTATGTTTGGCAAGCATTGGAGCAAACCAACCTGCTACTGAAGTTATTCTGTGATGCCCCAAAGGTCTGGTACATATGCTCTTTTTGAGATTGGAATTTTGTAATTAAGACTACCATTTCCGAAATTGTCATATAATATAATTCGTGGAAGTGGAAAGAATTATATATAACTAGCGGTTGGCATATGCGATTCATGTGCAATTCAAATAAGTAAAATTAAAACAAAATATTTACTGTATATTGTGTGTTGCTCAAGTGGTAAAAGGTTCAAGTCCCACTCCTTCCAGTTATTGGGAGATGGAGGAAATAATGAGATTAAATGATGCTCTACTTACTGACCTGCTATTAGAGACAACAAGTTTGACAATTTAAGGTGGCCTACTAGTTGCTCAAATAGATTCTGTCTCCTTAGCCTATCATTGGTTTGAATTGTCCTTGGGCCCTATTTGCATAATTACTGCCTCTATTTGAAAAAATGTTGCCCCTCCCAAAGCTCAATTCTTTGGGTGGTTGGAATGGAGAAGGAGGATCAAATCATCCAGCTATCTTCAAAGGGTTGGAGTTCTCAACAATAATGCTATTGTTCTTTCTATTTTCTGCAGGACTGAGGTGGAATTTGATGATCATGTGTTATTGCACTGTCCGCTTGTTTGGTTACTTTGGTCACATGTTATTAGATGGTGGGGTTTAGTTTGGGCATTACCAGGCTCTGTTAAGGACTTACTCTAATGGTGGGCCGGTGTAAATCTGTCAAGACTGGAGAGGAAAATCTAGAATTCCATTCTATTTGTTGTTTTATGGTCAGTTTGGAAGCTTAGGAATTGATTTATTTCTTTGTGTTGTCATCGATTTATTTCTTTGTGTTGTGATTAGGTGGAGGAATCAAAGTTTGTGTTTGAAGCCAAGATAATCCAGAGAATGGAGCTTCTAGTGCTATCTACTCTTCAATGGAAGTTGAATTCTCTGACCCCACTTTCATTTGTTGATCACATTGTGAGGAGGTTTGGATTTCAGACAGATTTGCATTTGGAGGTTTTGTGGAGGTGTATGGTCCCACAGCACTAGATTTATTCGATAAATCTTGAAAGTTGCCAATATGTTTAGAAAGTTAGATATGCATAGTTTTGGATGGTTTAAACTTTTTGTACAGTTTAGAACTTAAGTATATAGTTTTAGAATGTTTGGAATGTATAGACAATTGTTGAATGTTTATAATTTATGGATATAGTTTCTTTTTGATGTTTCAAATAATATTTTCGTGGTTAATTAATGTTTTGTGATGCTTGTTTGTAATATTTGTTAGATTGTACAAAATTGGTCAAATAGAATCTGCTGAATTTATAAAAAAAAAAATTGTATATTCCACGACAAACATAATACGTCGTTGTATTACATATTTTATGGCACGCAATCAGTGTCATTATTTGTCTCACCAATTAACAACGTGCAAAAGTAGTCGTAGAAAAAGTAATAACGACGCACAAAATTTGTCGTTAAATAATTTTTAACGACGTACTATAGCATGTCGTAGAAAAAGTAACAACGACGCACAAAATCTGTCGTTAAATAGTTTTTAACGATGTACGAAGCATGTCATTGAAAGTGAATGACTTTCCATGACTGGTCATAATATGACGTGTGCCTGCACGTCGTAGAAGGGTTTTTACGACGTGCATTGCACGCTGTAAAAACCCTTTTTTGTTGTAGTGATTGAAGAAGGAGAAATTATTGGGTATAGAAAAGGTTATAGCATGACATTGTTATGTGATAGTACTCGTCACCAATCATTAATTGCCACCTTTCATACTCTTAGACAAACCATTAATGTAAATGGGATAAGCGATAAGCCCTATCCTGTAAACCAAACTCAATCAAAGAAGGCACCACGTGAGAAAAATCAAAGAATTGATTTGGTAGATGAAACTCTCTCTTACCTTGCATGATACCTAGATTTGAGTATTACGACTAAGCTAGGTAGTTGCTTCTTTCTCTATTTGGTTCCTACAAATTTGAAAAAACAACAAAAACAAAAATAAAAACAAAAACAAAAAAAGTAACAGTGGTAGAGGATTGAAAGCAATAGATTATGGCTAGGAGTGGTAGAAGTCCTTCCGAACGTTCTGGAAACTCAAAGCAGGTTGTGATAAAGATGTGGCATCCGATCCAATGCCATTGTTGTTGCCACTGCAGGTTATGTTTAATGAAACAGATTGTTATCTACTTCTGCTGAAAGTGCAAGAATTTATTGAACTAGGGGAAAAATAAAAAAATAAAAACACTTCATATTTGCTTCAAGTGTTGTTATGGGGAGGCTGACATTTTGGAGTTTCTGTTTTCTCACACAAACAAAAGCTTTACGTGGTTTCATGTTACACATGATTTAATCAAAATTTGTGGGTAAAGGCCAGTGGTGATGAAGTGTTTTTTTTTTTTAAAAGGATTTTCTTTGTTTGGTAGTTGAGAATATATGAGAAAGAGGGGAAATAGGAAAGAAAATAAAATGTTGTCCTTTTGTGCCATCATGCTACTGCGGTTTCTAAGATAGTGAAAACCTTTCCAATAGTTTCCATTGTGCTTAATTGGGTGAAAATATCTGTCTGCCTCTGTCTATGAAGTTGTGGAATTAGTTATTGAAGAAACTGAGGACCAAAATTTTGATTTCATTTCTTTGCTCATACTGAATTTTTTTCGGGAGAAATTGTTGGGCTTTTTACGTGAATTGCTTTTTGGGTTGCTTCGTTTGTGATGAGGATTTACCGGGTGGTAATGACTTAATGCACTTGAGGATTTTGCTAACCAAAGAGCTGGACCTCGAAATTTTCCAGAATTTAATCTTTAATTGTTGCCTTGCCTTTGTTGTACTACACTGTAATACATTTTTCCAAGATGTAGTTTTTGTTTAAATGCTTAAATTTAGAACAGTATTGTGATATGCTCAAATTTCATATTTGCTGTGTTGGATCCTAGATGGGAGTAGGCCTGTAAAATCTAGGTTACATGAAATCTTAGGTTAAATTGTGTAGCCAAGCTTGCGATATTGGTTGAACAACATAAAGGCCGGGGTATACCCCAGCATAATGGTCCTCACTGGGGTAATCACAGCCAACCTTGAGCCCAAAAAATTATGCAATTTGTGGGTAAAGAACACTTCATCACCACTGATGGAAGCACCCAAGGTACTGAAATTGTGGTGAGAGTAGCTAAACTACTTACCAAAACAGAGAAGGAGACTAGTGCTCTATAGGAGAAACAGAGAATGAGACTAGTGAATAGAAAGCAATAGCAGTACGGCAAAGAATCAGCAGCTACAGCAACTGTAGAACAAAACAGCAGCTGCATAGGAGAGACGGAACAGAAACAAAGAGTAGGGAAGAAATTGGCAGTAGCAGAGAAGAACGAACGGGGAGCTGCCTCAAAGCTGAAGGCAACCTCTCATCTCTACGTACCTAAGAAGCACATTATCTTTAATGCAAACTTAGCAATCTTTTTCTTGTATTTGTGTAGAACCGTTCAATGTGTAAAAAAAGTTACTTATATTGCTTTTATGATTTCGCTTTAATTAATTGCTAACTAGTCAATGTTATGTCTTTAAAACAGTGCCTAGTAGACACCCTCGTGGCTTGACACGCGGGTTGAAGGTTCAAGCAATGGTTCAAAAAGATGGAAAGCTCAAAGTTCCCATACAACAGGAGTATCGTGCGCCAGTGGGGGATCATGCCTCTCAATTAGTGTCCAAAATTCATGCGCCAGTGGGGGATCACGCCTCTCAATTAGTGTCCAAAATTGGTGTTGAGGTCCGAACACACTTGCCAGACTTTAGCATTCGCAGGTGGAAACATGTCAACGAAGAAGTTACGGCACCTATGTTTCAGCATCTAACGGTAAAATTTTTACATAATTGATTGAATTAATGTAATATAATTAATTATGACTTACAAGATTTGTGGCTATTACTAGGATCAATTTGACATGGAAGGTGACTCCACAAATGTTAGCAAAGCGATAGAAAAAAATACAGACTACGAAAAAAATACTTGAACCTTAAAAGTGCTAAGGGAGAGGAGTATGCTAGAAGCCACTCACTGCTTGAATGTGACCTCGAGAAATGGAAAAACTTGATTGACAAGAAGTGGAATGATACCAATTGGCTGGCAAACTTTTCTTATGTTTATTTATTGTTGACAATTACCTTGTCTTCCTAATATATATATTTTTCTATTGGAACTTGCTCCTTGTAGAAGCAATCAAATGCTAACATTGACAATAGAAATCAATTGAAAACGAAGCATAGGTGTGGGTCAAAATCTCTCCCAGTTAGGGTACACGAGGCGGTGGGTCTTCTTTAATTTTTTTTTCCAATTTTTTTTAAAGATGATTCTACTACCATCATTCTTATTTAACTTACTAGTTGAACAAAAAAAATCAGACAATTGCAAATGGGGGCCAACTGCCAGAGTTGCCATGTGTTTACAAATCTACACACTTTAATGATGTCACAAAGCAGTGGATTTCTCCGGAGTGCGAAGAAAATTATGTATGTATATTTACTTTTTGTATTAGGATGATTGCAATTTTAATTGTACCTTTATTCATTTTTCTTTTTTTTTTAAATGACAGGATAACATGATAAAGATCCAAGCTGAACATTGCTCCCAACCTGGTGTGGTTCCAATTACTTCGAAGGAGCTATCTGTGAAGGTGCTAAAGCCAAGGTCGGGATATGTTAAAGGACTCGGGTTGAGGCATTCCTTCTCTGTCAGGACTACCAGTGCTTCGACTGACAGTGACTATGTGAGGCGTCTAGAGAAGGAAATACAAGAGCAAAAGGAGGAAATTCAGTCATATAAAGAGGAAATTACAACACAGAAACTTGAAATTCATGTACAAAAAGAGGAAATTCAAGCACAAAATAAAGAGATAGGGAAGATGAATGGGTCGATTGATGAGCATTTTGAGATCACATCAAACATCATGGAGTTTCTTAAGAAGCAAGGTTTCAAAGGACAATTTAGAGGATGAGGTATCCCATGAACTCGTACATTGCCTTTTTGGTAAGTCTTGCTCGCTTTATCATTTTATTTTTCTCATGTTGGTTAGTATATACTAGTTAAAGTACAACAATTTGACTACTTATTAACTAAGATTTAACAAGTTGGAAGATGTATTTAATGAAAATAGATTCATTATCAAAATTCTTACTTAGCCTGACTCTAGTTAAAATACACACTAACCAAAGTAGTGACAAAACAAAGTAAGATAATAGCTTGTTATTAAGTGTTCTTGTATCTGCGGATGTTGGTATCTGTATAGCCTAAGTCACAAGTATCTGTATGCTCTGCTGTTGGTATCTGTATGCTCTGCTGTTTGCTCTGCTATTGGTATCTGTATGCTTTGCTATTGGTATCTGTATGCTTTGCTATTGGTATTTGTATGCTCTGTTGTTTGGTATCATTCTGCTTTGCTGGTTGTATCGGTATGCTGTGTGAGTGGATAGATCTGCTGGGCTGCTGGTCTCGGTAATTTTGCTTCAGTTTTGGATGTGAATCTAATTGTAGGCCTGGTGATGTATATTTTCTATATACCTTTGCTGGGATGGGTAGCTTGCTGTGTGCGTTTTATCCTGCTGTCTGTTGTGTTTTTTGTGTTCTTGTTGGTCCCTCACCAACAGTTCCATTTTGGTGCTGTGCATCATCCCCCTCTCCCCTGTCCTTTCTTGTACCCTTTATTAATGTATTTTCTCCTTCTGGTAAGGTTCTTTCATCAATAAAGTTTTTGTTGATCAAAAAAAAAAAGCAGTCAATGTTAAAAAAAAAATTAATACGTATAGCAGTGTGTACTATTTTCTAAATTTAGAAGGGAGCTGTTTTTAGGTTTTGTGCGTGGCCTTTTAATGTTAATGTTAAAAATAATAAGCTTATTATCTACATCCATTTTGGTCATTGCTGTCACAACTCACCAAGCTAGTGGTCTAGTTATCCATTTTTTGCATTGTAGGTTGTTGCTCTCTCTCTCTCTCTCTCTTCAAAATTTTTTTAAATCCCATTTGTGAAGCAGCCACAATATTTGTTCCTTACATTCTCATTGACTACATGCCCTGGTTTCTTACCATGAGATGTTGTAGTGTTATAACTGGTTTGACTGCTGTTCGTGGGTCACACCCAATTTTTTATTTGAGCATAATTCTGGGGATACAGTGAATTGCCATGTTAAGGTGATCATTGCAAAGCCCATGGGTGGGAATGAGCATGGTATTCATCTTTTTAGTTAATCTCTGTTAATTTCTATTCAGATAACTTCAAGCTTGTGATCTTGAGAACAATTTTGTATATTTGTTAAGTTTATGATATTTGGCTTTAAGTTTATAATAAAACTTTGCTACTATAATAAACTTTATATATATACATTCTATGTTAATGTTTTCCTTGTTTATTTTCTTTGTAGATTGGCTTTGATGACGTTCGGAGGCATACTTGCAAATGAAGATCAACTGTTTAATTTTTTTTCCTAAACTGATGCTTAGTTGTAGTTGCAAATTAAGATTGAGTGTTGATTTTTTTTGGTGGACTCCACGTTAGTTCATTTTGGGATTTGCTTTGACGATTTTTTTGTGATACTTAATAGATTATTATTAAAGTTTTTTGATGGATATATTTTGATTTATAATATAAATTATTTAGTGAATTTTTTTATGGAGTGATGTATAATAGCTAGTGGATTTCTTAGTACAATTAAAAGGCTATTGGGATATGAGCAGAGATATTTGTGAAATAATAATTTAAATTGAATATAAAATATGGAACAAGTTTAGTGACGAATTTGTTTCGCCATTTGTACTTGTTATTATGACAAAGTGATTATTCGTCATTAATAAACTTCTTTTGTGACAAAATTTACTGTAGTTTATATATGGAAGTTTTTATTTATTTTGTTGTTTGGTGACTAAAAATTTCGTCATGTATATATATATATTTGTGACGAAATATATTTCGTCACCCATGTATGACTTTTGAAGATGAAAATTTTCGTCACCTTTAGATCTTATTGTGACGAAATTATTTCCTCATCAATGATCAACATGCGTGACAAATTTATTCGTCAACTAAAGTTATAAATATGGTACTGAATAACTATTTGGTGACAAAAATGAGAAGTTTTGGCGACAAAATGTTGTTTTATTGGTGACAAAAAATTATGACTGTTGAAGACGAAAAATTTCATCATCTTTACATCTTATTGTGACAAAATTATTTCCTCATCAATGATCAACATGCGTGACAAATTTATTCGTCAGCTAAAGTTATAAATATGGTACTGAATAACTATTTGGTGACGAAAATGAGAATTTTTGGCGACAAAATGTTGTTTTATTGGTGACAAAAAGTTTCGTCGCTGAAGTAATTTCATTGGTGACGAAATTATTTTTCGTCACGGTGGTTTTTAGTGACAAACATTCAATGACGAAACCGGTGCCGAAAATATTTCCTCACAAATATCTATAGTGACAAAATTAGGTCTTTTAAGACAAAAAAATTTCGTCATTCAAGACCCAACTTGTTGTAGTGAAAGCAATGAATAGCAAAAACCTAGCACAAAGTTTAAATGAACAAAAGAAAGCATTATCTACCTAAATGTTGAAAGAATTTGCAGAGCAACAACTACTGAATAAGTCAAATTAGAACAAACAACGCATAGATTATATATAGGAAACCACATATGGGTGCCATGTTGTAATCATAACAAATCACAGAAAAACTAGTCTTTAATTAAAATGACAAAAGAAAAGAAAATGTTATTTTAATCAAATAAAAGCCGCCTAGTCTGAGGTAGCAAAATTTAAGAACCCTAATAAATATCAAATTTGTTCAAATTATTTAAATTTTCTCAAAAACAAAAGTTAAAAGTTTATTGCTATTTCCTAGACAAGAATAATATATTCACTCTAACCAAATCTCATAAATAAAAAATAGGCAATGTATATACTTATGGCAGTGTGTGCTAATCTTCAATGTATTCAGAGAAAAAAATAAGAAAGGAGAGAGTAGCATTATTTCCTCGAACAAAATTTGATCAAGTCCAGTGTTCAACATTGTATCCTTAAGACAGATTCGCCCTCTCCACGGTGCTTTCAGATTATGGACGTCTATCTCCTAGGATAACACGATCAATGTCAATTTAGTAGTAGCTCTACAAACTAAATGTCCAATGAACGCACTTTGCGTTTATACTCTTTCTAACATGAAATTTATGTAGCAAAATGCAGAAAATAAAAGTAGACAAGAAAAAATGAAAATTAGATGAAAAATCGAATGGAGGACTTGTCTATTTACAGGTGAACTGGTGGCTTTTCAGAATAGATTTCAAAATAGATTTCAACAGGTAACAAACATGTTCGGACATATTTGAATAGATAAAGTACCTATTCGGGTTAAATCTGAACAGATAATGAACCTGTTCGGTTGGAGGAAAAATCTGGATAGGTTTGTTGGACCAAACTGCCAGTGATGCAATATGTTGGGGTCATTTCGGAATTAAGTTTGAGTTTCAAACCGAAATTCAAATTCCAAACAGTAAGAATTTAATTTTAGAAATAAAATAAAATTCAAATGTTTTTGGCCCAAAAAGATAAGCATTGGGTCGAAGAAGCCCAACCCAACCTCACATCACGTACCTGTGCCCAAGTCCAGCCCAGCCCGTTTGACTGGACGGACGGACGAACAGTAACAGCAAAGTACGCGCATGTGTGTCTGCTTTAGGCTAATGGGTCTAGCCCACCTTGCCCATAACCTCACCCTTCCACAAAATTTGGGTACCCCATGGGGTCCTCCCGAAGTTGTGAACTGTAATAACCCTGTCCTATATTATGTTAATTAATCATGATTATGTTCGCAATTATGTGCTAAATTTGAATTTGGGTGTTAATTGCATGATTATATGTGATTTTGGCTTTGTATCTGTTCACCGTTGGAAAATCTGTTAGAATTTGTGCTTTGAACTGAAAATTGAAAGCGTTATCACCCACAAAAATCAAAATTGACTACGCCTTTGTGATTGGTGTAATTTTTAGAGCCTACGGTGAAATTTAATTAGAAATTGATTTGGATCAAAATTATTAGATTAAACTGATTGAATTATGCTCAATTACATAGCCTTAGTCAAACTTGATTAAGCAAGCATATATAACGACCTTATTACACTTAAACTCACCATATTTTAAGCTCAAAATCTGAAAACCACACTCTAGAGAGAGAGAGACAGAGACAGAGAAGGGCCGGTTCTAGAGAGAGGAAGAGGGAGAATTGTGCATTTGGGTCAAAGTTTGTGAATTTGGAAGCTGCACTCAAGATCTAACTATATTTGTGAGGATTGAAGCCTCTATGTGAGTAATTTGATATGAATTCATGAGTTGAGTTTGTAATTATATGAATTCAAAGAGAATATGTAACCAAGAGCAAGAATTAAGTTGTAATTAATGAAATTGAAGTCAACATACACATGTATGTAAGAAATTGCCATGAATTTGCATATTTGAGCATGAAACATGTAGCTCATGTTGATTTGAGAGTCATATACTACATGCATGTAAGAATTTCCATGGTATGGAACTCAATTCAAAAGATTTATGTTACAATTAGAAGTTGATTATGAGAACATGAAGAATATCACACCAAATCACACATGCATGCATAATTCTAATAGATTCCATGATTTTGAACATCATTTGTGCCATTTAAAGTGGGATTGGAGTCAATAATTGACATGCATGGAAGATTTGTGAAGATATGAAGCTTGTATAAAGTTTGAATGCATGAGATTTGACCAAACCAAGAGAAATGTTGATTAATTTGAGAATTAGATCATGGTTTTTGACAATTGGTTTTAAATAACCTACATTCTCATGCTATGTAATGTTTTTCCATGATTTTGTACCAAAAACACCAACTTTGAACCTTTGGATGCCAAGTTTGAGCTTTAAGAACAAGTCTGGAAATTCCAGAATTTGCCATTTCCGCACGAGCAGGGAAAGTGCCGCTCGAGCATGAAATGTTAGTTCCCAGAAGTTTTGCAGGCATGATGTCCGCTCGAGCGAGGAAGAGCTATGCTCGAGCGCCCAGGCACACACTTTGGGTCTCAGCTCGAGCGTCCGAAGTCACGCTTGGGCATAAAAATGAAGTAACCAGTACTTTTGCAGACCAAAGGGGTCCGCTCGAGCGGCGAGCTCTGTTTCGGGAATTTTGAAAAGATGTTTTGTGTTTCATTTTCCGTTCTCTTTCATTTGTAAGCACTCTTAGGCATGCATTGAGCTTTTTATATGACCTAAAGGGATAAGAAAGAAGCCGAAGAGAAATAATAAGTTAAGAACGGATTGAATCGCTTATGACCATTGTATTATGAAATGTGTAGGGTTAAGCACAAAGGCAAATTCATCGGCGAAACACTGTGAGTAATATCTTAATAAAGATATTTTCAAGTATGTTACTTTCCAAATGCTACTTCTGTATAAGTTTCATGGATTTGTTGTTTTGAAATATGAAAGAGTATTCTGTATGTCTAATTTTGTATGAGGCCGTTTGATACGTTTGATATATTTGAATTGGGCCTAAGGTCGTTTACCGTTTGATACATTTGATATGTCCAAATTGGGCCTAAGGCCGTTTTCCATTTGATATGTTTGAGTATAAAGATGGGCCAAAGGCCGTTTGAACATGAGCGTAATGGGCCAAAGGCCGTTTGAATAAAAAGAGATCATGATCATGAATATGAAATTCGCATAGATATGAATATAAAGGGAATGGGCCCGAGGCCGTTTGATATGCCTGATATGTTTGAATTGGCCTCGAAACTGTTTGATATGTTTGAATTGGACCAAAGGTCATTTTGAATAAAGAGTTAGTTGGACCAAAGGTCATTTTGTATAGATGGACCCAAGGTCGTTTTGTTTTATATAAGAATTGAACCCGAGGTCGTTTTGCTTTGTTGAGATTTGTAAATCTGATGTGAATGAGAATAGTGGTTCAAATGTGTACATTATAAGTATGACTCATTTATGAACGAAACTCATTCATTAACCTCGTTATTTTGATATTATTCACTGGGCGTTAGCTCACTCTTATTTATATGTATGTAGATGGGCAAAAGGACGTTCAACCCTAGCCTTAGTGGAATTTGAGAAAAGAACCCGAGTTTTGTGAAGTCAACCCAGGTGCCTCACGCAAGAGGCTTTGTTTGTGATCTTTTGCATTTCTTTTGCTATTTCATTGGTCATGATAGACCGTTTATGTGTATAAGCTTTTGGTTTAGCTGACTATGTGTTTGAATGATCCTGGGTATACAAGATGTCAACTACTGATATGTGGTGTGAGTTATTATTAAGTATATGTGAAATGTTTTGATATGCCATGTAAGCAAAGCTCATTGGACAAAATTTTTATGTTTGCTTCCGCATCTGGGCCCATATTATTAATCATTAATTGATATCAGGTTTGCAGCTGTAGGTAATCTCATGATTACTAGCTAGTTATGACCTTAATCTATAGGGGCGGGTTCGGGTCATGACAAAGTGGTATCAGAGCACGAGTTAATAACTCACACACTTGTCCAAATGAGCCATAAGGT